GGCCGTTCTAGATCTTGCCTTGGCAAGTTGTTTCAGTGCATCTTTTAGATGGTGCACACTGCTGCTACTGAGTGTTAGTGACAGAGGGAGTGAATATTGAAGGTGATGGATGGATGCCAATCAGCAAGCTGTTTTGTCCCAGGTGATGTCAAGTTTTTTGAGTGTCGTTGGAGCTGCACACAGCCAGACCAGTGGAGAGTATCTGATCATATAGCTGACTTGTGCCTTGCATTTCCTACATTGCAAAACGGACTTGATGCCGAAAATACTTAATTAGCTACAAAACACTTAGCGGTGTTCAGATAAAAATACAAATTGTCTTTATTTTGGGGGTAGGTATGACTTTCCTGGTCAATGATGCTGGTGACAAGTGCATGTTATAAAGGCTTCAAATGAGATCACTGCTGATCCTCACAACAAGCAGTTTCCCAAACATCTTTCTTGAAGTGTGTACTTGGATCAATAGGCGCTATATTTCAACACGAGTTGCACCCAAAGGACAGAAATAGAAAGAGTTGGCTACACATGTCTAGATAGTATATGGTTTTAGGAAAGTGGAATCTAGGAAGCAGATTTCTCCATTCCACCATCTATTGAATGATGTGCAAGGACAGAGTAAGTACTGCAGGCAAAGTCCAATCATTTATTGTCAATGAGAAACTAATGAAATATTTAATTTTGGACTTTATCCAAGATGTACGATCCATCTGCAAGTCAATATAATGGTTACTTTGCAGTTGAGCTGACTCCAAGATAGTTTGCTTTGCATTGGAGAAAGGTAGTGGTGTAGTGATAGTGTCCCTAGATCAGTCATCCAACAGCCCAGGCTAATGCTCTGGAGATGTGGGTTCAGCTGGCAGGATTTAAATTCAATTTATGAATCTGAAATGAAAGTCCGTCTCAGTATGGGTGACCATGCAATGATTTTCAATTGTCGTATAGACCCATTTGGTTCAGCAATGCTTTTTAGAGGTGGAAATCTGCCATCTTGGTCTCGTCTGCATGGCGTTCTAGACCCGCAGCAAAAAAAAGTTGAGCAAGCCACTCAGTAGTATAGAAATGCTACAAATTCAAAAAAGAATAAAATTGGACATACCACCTGAGCATTGATGTAGATACTGGAAATTACAACCCTTTCTATCCTGTATTGTGTCAAAATTGGGAGAGCTGTTCATCAGACTAATCAAGCAACAACCTGACTTAGTCATACTCAGTAAATCCCACTTTACAGACAGTACCCCCATCCCCATTCCTAGAACTCAATACATCAATACAAATGATAATGCTGAATCATTTTGCACCTACCTTCAGCCACAAGTGCCGAGTGGATCACTTCAGAATCCTCGGCAAGTCCTCAGCGTTCCAGATGCCAAGCTTCAATCAATTTGATTCACTCTACATGATTTCATGAAACAGTCAAAGGAATTGAGCTCTGAAAACTGTGAGCCCTGACAACAATCCAACAATAGTACTGAAGACTTGTGTGCCAGAACTAGCCTCCCTCCTAACAAAGCTGTTCCAGTCCAGTACAACACTGACACCTACCCAGCCATGTGGAAAATTGGCCACATATCTCCTGTTCACAGAAAACAGGACAAATTCAAACCAGCCAAGTACCACAGCATCAGTCTACTCTCTGTATCTGGTTGAGATAAAGGCTAACAATTCAGTGGCCTTTTAAAATTACTTTTTGTACCTATCTACCAGCTTTTGTTGATTTCTGTACTTTGACCACTAAATGATCATCAGTAATTATAAGTTCTAATGGGTGACAACTTTGTCTCAACACAACTGTTGTGAGACTGGGGTCACTTTAGTGATAAAATCCTTCCAGTGCAATTTAACATTTTTGCCATGTTGAGCCATTTATGTGAACAGTTCTGTTGCAGTATTATGAATTCATAGACGTGCAATCAGAGAGCTTAGTCAGCCCATCTGTGAGATCCAGACACCAAGCTGTCAGCAAAATGGAGAACATTTGGAGGGAAGTAGAACGCCAACCTGGGCTAATCCATCACTCCAATAGTGCTTGAGCTTCCTACAGGTATCAGCCATGGCTCAGTAGGTAGTGCACTCACTTCTGAACTAGAATGTTCAACCTGTATTCTAGAGGTTGAGCACAAAATTTAGAATAATGCCCTAGTGCGATACTGAACAGGTATTACACCATTTAGAGGTGCTATCTTTCAAATGACATGTTAAAGCAAGGCACAGCTTACCCTCTCAGGAGGTCCATTGGCACTACTGGAAGAAACAATGGGGATAGTAGGTTGCTAGTACGGGATGTGAGTATTGGTTGAAAGAGTCGCAGCACTGAATCTTGTGTTTGGCTGGCTAAGTGCCCGTTTTGTTGAATTTCAAGGTGGGGCTGGGGGTGGTGGCATGGGGATTTCCCATCATGAGACCCAGAGAAGTCTCTCACCGTAACTGACCAAACTCACTTCATTAGCATGTACCTTACCCCGTGATGTCATTATCCCTGACGTTGCCTTCTGTTCCACCCGGATAAGCAACGTTCAGTCTGGAGCTGCCCTGTATCATTCTTGGTATTTGCTCCGACATGGCAGAGAAGGGAAAATTGATGCTGTACTCTGTGAGCATGGTGCTGCTGGATGGGGTGGTGTGGAGCTGGGACATTTGCTGCCTTAGGACCAGCAGAAGAGGGACCAAGCTGATATGGTTTGATGTTGCTTCTGAGGTTGCCACCTGGCTGCTGGAGTCTCGGCCATCTGGAGGAATGATCAACACTGTAGAAGAAAGTCATTGTCTTTCTCCATTCCACCAGCACAGCACCACCACCTTTTTTCCACTACCTCCCACTCACTCACTCTGCTAATTACCTACCTCACACCAAAGCTAGTGCTGTACTCCGCTCACCATGGCCTACAATATCTTCCCCACTCTCACCTATCCTAACCCAACCGTTGACTCTGCTAACCCTGCATGCCTTGTGCACTTCTTCCTTACTCAATTGAGATACCTTGCCACCTGTACCAAAAATTAAGAGCTGTCCAGTCACTGTCACCTTCTTTTATACCTGCCTCCCTCTCCTTCCATGGGAATAACAGTCTTACACAATTAGAAAGAGTCAAGACTGGTGGTAGGCTATCCAACATTCAGCTCATCACACTCTTCTTGGACAGCATCCTGACTCTGACCGTCCCAAGTAGCTCATAGGCTCTGTCCAAGCACCTGGACTATTATTGAAAGCTGCCCTTGACTTACTGTATTTGGATCCCCTGACTGAAGGCTATCTCTTTTGCCTTGACTGAGCACTGCTGACAACCTTGCCAAACCTCCTGACTATGTGTCTGCACTAAATAGCAAGACAATCCAGCAGTGCTGTGAGCTTGGGTATCACTGGCTGGGGAAACAATGCAAGGCAGTGATGCTGTGAGCATTCAGGTCAGCTCAGAGTTAGTGAGCACTGAGAGAGCAAGTAAATAGCTCAGAGATGCAGCCTGGTCCAATCCACGAGCTGGGTGGGTGCATGTCCCTGAGCGCACAGTGAGTGCCTTTGCTGCAGATTTACAATGATAATTGCCAGTACAACCCAGCGTGGACCTTTTAAGTGTCCTGTAAACAGGTTGGAGATGTGCCATGAGGGTTCTTGGAGGCTGGTACTGGTCTGCTGTCAATGATCATGGATGTGGGGTGCACGTGACCAGTGCCCATGGAGCTTTCCCTGAGATGTTAGTATTTGGTGTTCAACATGAAGGGTCCTTTGGAGCAAGCAACGAGCTGAAGTCATCAGGTACCTGCGCTGATTTCCATGTTGAGAATCCTAGGCATCTAGTATGCTCCCAGTGGGTGGTAGGATGGAAAGTTGCATGTTGGTGAGATGAGATGCACAGTTAATGAGGCCGTTAACAAGCAATAATGCCCCTTAATCGGCAGATCACTGCTGCCAAATGAGAATATCACCTCACTGCCCAGAATTTATTTATTACATGCGACAAGTTACTCTTGATGTCTGGATAGGTCTCACTGGATTTCTGACCCAATTCTGTCACTTGTCCTGGTGTAGCCCACATTGTTCAGTCCTCTATAAGATTGTATCCATGCTGACAGGGATTTTTACCTTGCAGTTGTCAGGACAGACACTAGAATGCCAAATTTCAAAGGGAGCAATAATTTATACTGCCTGAAACAAGGGCTGTGAATAGTTGGCCAGTCAGATCTGATTGGTCCAGGCAATGCCATGGAGCATACAACTTTTGTTACACTTGCTGCCCGTTGCAAGCAGAAAGATCACACACAGACATTGCATCTTTATTGACTTAAGCTGAGACATAGGGTTTGGGGGACAGGGGGATGATAATGAAGGAGGTGGGAGGGTGGTGGAGAACAGTAGTTCCCTAATGTGTTTCTCCATGATGGCATCCCAATCAACCAGAGTCTGTTTGCCAACCAACTTGTTGCTCGCTTTGAAATGTGGTATTCATCAGTCTGTTCTGAGGAGTACAAGAACAGAGGAGTTCTCTCTGGTGCCTGGGCTAACATTTAAACTCAACTTACATCTTAAAATTACATTGACTAGTGGTTATCACATTGGTATTTGTTGTTTGGAAATTGACTGTTGCATTTTCTAATACGCTGATATACTGTTGGAAAATTTAGCCAGTGTTAACAACAACCGATGTGCCAAGGAGAAATAAAAAATTTCAATTCATATAACACCTTTTGCAAACGCGTGTCAACACATTATTGCCACTAAAGTATCTGGATTATCTGTTTAAGTCTCTGGAACTTGAAACAACAGCCATCTGACTAATTTAGGGTAAGGGGGCTAGTACTAAGTCAGAGCTGATGTTTAAGTAATCATGAACAAGTCACAAAGCGAGTTTTTAGAGTGGGCATGACCGTGGCAGGCACCCAATGGTCATAAACGTCGACAGTAAAGCATCATTTGCTTCAATTTTCTACAGCTGTGAACCACAAACATGTGCGTGCCCTTTCTAGTCTCTTCATTTTGATGGGGTTTATCTCTTTCCTCTTAGGATTGAAGCCAAGCACCAGGAGTTGAGAGAGAAGCAGGCGAGAGAGCGGTACGATCAGCTGCCGTCCACCAGTCCCTCGGTGCCCGACATTGAAGACGATGACATGGACCCCAACTATGCCAAGGTGAACCACTTTCGGGAGCCACCCCCGCCCGCCAGTGTTTTCAAGGCCCCGTCCCCACAGCTGCACTCGTTAAACCCGCCTCGGGACCTGACTGCAGAGCAGGAGAACCTGGACGGACTGTATGCCAAGATCAACAAGCAGCAGCATCCTCCTGACAGGTAACTTTATTATCCCTTGTCAAAGTATTCACTTGGTATTGTGCTTTGTGACTTTATAATTTACTTGTGTTTCAGATGTTAGAGGTGACACTCTGTGGTTCATAAACTGGAACAATTTCTTGCCCATGTGCTTAAAGATTTGGCTCAGGAGCAAGATGAAAATTCAGAAGCTGATTTGTTTCCTTTCTGAATGTATTTCATCTATTTCCTCTCAAAAGTTTCTTTGCTCGTGGATGTTTACAACCCATTGAACTGGCTGGTCTCCGGTTTTGGGTCATGTCACCCTTCAGTTCACAGAAAATTGGAAGGACGTTGGGATCCACTGCTGTTCAGCGATCCCTTTTGGAAGTATATGTCCAAGTGTACACATTCTGCCACATTGGACATCTCGCCCATTTTGAGCAAAAAGCAAATACACACTGTCAAAGTCCACGGTTAAACACTTGGGAGCTCAAGCAGTTCGTACCTTGAACTTGCAGGCTAGGGAAGTAATAGAAGTATTTCACATGCAAACTGGTGACTCTGATTCCCAACCCAAGAGACAGACTACCAGTTCAGTAAAGGGAAATTAAGCTCTAATGCAGCAGATGAGGTGATGTGAGAAAGAAAGAAAGAAAGACTTGTGTTTAGGTGAACTCAGGGCATCAGAAATCATTCTAAAACCAGAGAGAGGGGTATTGTGGAATTGTAGCCACAAGAATAGTTACAAGATAAAGTGCAGCAGCTAATATGCAAAACAAACTCCCGTAAACAACAATGCCACGATGAACAGACCAAGGCTCATTTCTGAAGAAGGGTCCAGACCCAAAACGTCAGCTTTCCTGCCCCTCTGATGTTGCTTGGCCTGCTGTGTTCATCCTGCTCTACACCTTGTTATCCAAGGCTTTTTGTGCTTTTTATTGAGGGTTAAGTATTGGCCAAAATAATAGGATAACTCCCCTGCTCTTTTTTGATACAATGCCCTGGAATCTTTACATCGAGCTGAAAATGTAGGCAGGGTTTTAATCTAACTACTCATCTGAAGGACGGCACTCCCAATCGTGTAGCACTCCTGCTATACAGCAGTGAAGTGCCAACCTAGTTGCTGTGTTCAGCCTTCTAAAGTAGGCTCAAGCCCCCAAACCTCTAACCTAGAGGTGAGAATGCTACGCATTGAGCTATGGCTGATGAGCAGAGTGGTCTAAAGAATGATGGAAGTTCCCAGGTTTGTAGAATATTTGGACTCTTCTTTTTAACTATCTTGACAGAAGATGTTTCTTTTACGTATGGGGGTGACTATAGCCTTGTCTGACTATAAAAGATCCGTGGCAGTTTTATGCATATGGAGCGTGTAAACCAATTTGGACCTGAAAAGTCTCAAAAGTTGAATTTGTTCTGTTTGCCTACAAAGTTTAAACCTTGACATTGGAATTTCTGTTCTGGCCCCATTTTGTATATCCCTCATGTTTTCCTATCACGATCTCTCCGGAACCACTCCTCACCCAGCACTAAAATCCTCCTCCTGTTCACTATGACCTTGAGCTGGTCTGGGTTGCTCTCTGGTGAACTGATTTTTGTCACTTTAGCTGTGCCCCAGATATAGTGGCCTGAAACTTCAAAGTACTGAACAAAGTCAAGATCTGCCCTAAAGTGTCCTTGAAACTCAAGTATAAATAGTCATGCAAATGCACGTTTACACCAAGTAAATTGCTACTTTTTTTTACATGCAGAGCTCTGAATCCTGTCTCTCATTTGTTTTCAAAGGCTGATCTCAGCTGTAGAAGGAAAAGAAAGTTAATTTCGTACAGTTGTATTATGCTGTATTAAAAATTCAGAAGGAAATGTTATGCTTGGGCCAATGGTCCAGCTTATTCAATAGTCATTGCACTGATGGGAAGATTATTACTTAAAGCTCTCACTTTATTATTTATAGCCCTGTGCTTTGATTTTCACGGAGTGCGGTCAGACATGTGGCTGGTTCTCCTGCCATGAGCTACTCTGGCAATTATAAGCCTCAGGTTGGACTGCCAACTCTGGGCATATTCTTGGAGCTGGCACAGTGGCTCAGTGTTTAGCACTGCTGCCTCACAGTGCCAGGAGGCTGGATTCAATTCCAGCCTTGGGCAGCCGTCTGTGTGGAGTTTGCACATTCTCCCCATGTCTGCGTGTGTTTCCTCCGGGTGCTCCGGTTTCCTTCCACAGTCCAAAGATGTGCAGGATATGCAGACTGGCCATGCTAAATTGTCCATAGTGTCCATGCATGTGCAGGCTAGATGGATTAACAGAGCTACAGGGATAGGGCAGGGCGTGGGTCTGGGTGAGATGCTCGCTGGAGGATCAGTGTGGACTTAATTGATCAAATGGCCTGCTTCCGCATTGCAGGGATTCGAATTCAATTCAATTCTGTTCTATTCTATTCTGTTTTATATACCATCTCTCCTCTAGTGATCCTGCAGAGTACAATGGCCTTCCTTCTCATCTCTGAAAAGTTTTATAATGAATGTTCAAAACTTTTCCAATTTGGTGGTTGGCAACTGTGGCTGAGTTGGTAGTGTGCATGCCCCTGAATCTGAGGTTTGTGGGTTTGAATCCCACTTGTGAATTAAAATTGAATCACACAATCCAACATACATAAGTTCCAGGAGCAGGAGTAGATAAGTCAGCCCCTCGAGCCTGCTCTGCCATTTAATATGAACAAGGCTGTTCTCATGTTGGCCTGAACTCCACTTTCTTACCCATTCCCTATAACCCTTCAATCCATTACTAATTAAAAAGCTGTCTATCCTGTCCTTAAATTTATTCAACGTCCCAGTATCCACTGCATTCTGAGTTAGTGAATTCCATTGATTCATGATGCTTTGAGAGAAATAATTTCTCCTCATCTCTGGTTTTAAATCTGCTAATCCTTTTCCTAAAAATATAACCTTTCATTCTAGATTGCTCCACAAGGGGCACATTATTTCTACACCTACCTTGTCAATCCCCTTTAGCATCTTATGTACCACAATTATATCTCCTCTCATTCTTCTAAACTCCAGAGAGTACAGGCCCTAACTGCTCAATCTCTGTTCATAAAACAAGCTCCTCACCTCTGAAACCAATCCAGTGAATCTCCTCTGAACTGCCTCCAATGCAACCACATCCCTCCTCAAATGAGGGGACTAAAGCTGTACGCAGCACTCTAGATGGCATCTCACTAAGACCTTGTACAGCTGTAGCAGTATAGTACCAAAGGAGTGCTGCGCTGTTGAAAGTGCTGTGCTTTGAAAGATGATAAATTGGGGTAAATGTGAACAATCCCAAGGTACTATATTGAAGAATTATTCCAGTCCACTGGCCAATACCTACCCTTAATCAACATCACTTTGACCAAAGATGGTCACCTGTTCGTGACATTGTTGTGTGTTGGTTAGTGTTTTGTGTGCAAGTTGGCTGCTGTATTTCATACGTGCAAATGGCAACTACCCTTCAAAACTATATCAATGGCTGTGAGATAGCAGGAACTGCAGATGCTGGAGAATCTGAGATAACAAGGTGTAGAGCTGGATGAACACTGCAGGTCAAGCAGCATCAGAGGAGCAGGAAGGCTGACGTTTCAGGCCTAGACCCTTTTTCAGAA